TGTACGGTCGTACAGATTTTGGAACTGAAATTTATCTCCGCGTTACAATAATACTTTTACAAACATAATATTTATATGATTTTGATTTATTTCTGATTTATTACGACTTAGTTAATCGTGCGCGTGGGTGTGTTTGTTTGTAAAATATGCGTTTATGCTCGCTGTGTAACTACTTTAGTTTTAGTTAGTTGTCTTTGACAAACACTGTTCATTGTTCGGTCCGATGATAATGATGTTGACTTCCCTTGTTTTGTTTGATCGATCGATGTGCAGACAAATCTGAGGGAGATCAAATTCATTGTCTTGGTGCATTTATCTAGCTGTGTCCGTGCTGAGATGCCATCGCATGAAGTCCTACCCCACAGATTATCTATGTAAACTCTTGTCATCAACCATTTACGGTAATGTTTGTATTACATATTATGAARTAGGTATCATTGTTATACTTAACAATTGTTTTTCTATAGATGATGATAAACGTTTCAGTAACTAATCTTACTAACAATGCCGCTTCCACTCCACTAGCGCCAGTAAAGTCTGTGGCWGTTCCACATCCGCCTGTCCAATTCAGTCCACTTACTGTTGTTATCRTTGTTATTGTTGCTTGTTTGATGCTCGTTGGTGTGAGTGCCTCTCTTCCCTGGTCTATTTGTTTTAATTACTTGACAGTGATGTTTGTAGGTAATAATTGTAATTAGAAGGAAAAGAAGACTTGACAGGCTACGGCATTCATTGATACCTTTCTATTCGTTTGATGCTAACGAAGAGGAAGACTGGGACTCTGATCTGTTACAAAATGAAGGTGGAACTCAGTCCATTCGTGTAAGTGGTTCCTAATATTCATAATTTTAATTTTCAATATAATTAAATAGGTACCACCTAAACATATTGTTTCATTAAAAATAGTGTTCTAAACATATACCTTGATAATTTTTCACAAATACTATTAAATAAACTGMAACAACTATGTTGTTTGGTCTTAAGTATATAATTGAAATATTTGAATAATTATAAGTTTTATAAATTATTAATAGTCATATAAAATAGTTCTTACTGATTATTTGTTCTGTATGCATTTATTGTCAAATATTTTATAAACTTTTAAATTCAAAATTACATACTTCTTTACTGTGTTAAGCATAGGCGTGTCTAGACCTTTGATGCAGAGGGTGCAACCTGGTGCGTACCCAAGGGACTAATGGGCCCTAGCTCCCTTTTTTGAATAATTTTTCTTAATAATTCATGGTGCCACTTGAAATTGCAGAGGATGCAGGACRCAGGTGCATACCCTGCACCCCCCATGGACACGCCTATGGTGTTAAGGATTGTATGTATATAATATTATTTACTCTTTTTTAGCTGCTGCTGTAATATAATTAGTGATGCTACATTTACACAAACAATACTGATAATTTACTTTTAATTATAACCCGTAGCATTTAGAATTATTTATATTTTCTATAATTTATATTTTGTAGCAGAAATATACTAGAACTTAATTACTTCCAGTTTTCAAACATAACTAGTAACTTCTATATTATGTAAGATGTAAGATGTAAATGTAAATTAATTCATTTTATATTAAACACAAGTTATTCAGAGCTCAGAGGTTCTTTGATTACAAGTCACTACATATATTACTTAATAAAACTGTATACATTTTTTCTTAACATTTAATCGTTATACTGTTATGTATAATGTTTTATTGGATATCTTTTAGCAGCATAATCAAACATTTAGACACGAGGGCAGTTTCCACAGCTGGCATGAGAGATTTAGCCCGATTCAAAGGTTTTTTAACTTTTTTTTTC